TCCCGCCGCGCCCGGGCAGGTGCTCCCGCCCCGCGGCCTCCTGCGGCCGCCCGGCCCCAGCGGCTGCCCCGGCGCCCGTGTTCGGCGCGCGCGGGGGGCCCTTTCTTTTCCCTCTTTTACTTCTCTCTCTCTCTTTTAAATTTTCTCTTTCTTCCTCTCTTTGAGTTTTGTTCTTTTTTCCGATTTCTTTTTTCTGTCCCCTTAACCGCGCGGGCTCCGCGCGCCGCGCCCGCGGCGCTCCCACATCCTGGGATTCCGGTCCCGCTGCGGCTCCCTCGCGTCCCAACTTCCTGCGGCGCCGCCGGGGCCGGGGCCGGGGCCGGGCCGGAGCTCCCGCCGCTCCGCGGTCTCCCCGTGCCGGGCCGTGCGGCTCCGCAGCAGCCGGCGGAGCCCCGAGCCGCCGCCCGCGGCTCTTCCCTTCGGGAATCCCTGTGGTTGGGAACACGGAGCCGGGTCGCGCCGGGGCCYCTCCGCGCGGTGCCGGTACCGGGCGGCCCCTTGTTGGACCCTCCTGCGCTCGTGGGGTTAAAGGCAGGGAAGGTCCCTGAGCGCCTTCCCGGGAGCATCTTTCCTCCGTGATCCCCTGCGAACTGCAGCTCCTGCCGGGGAATGTTACTGCAAGAGTTAAACCCGCTGAGAAAATCCTGCCTCTTCCAGTTGCTTTCTGCTCCAGTCATTTCCTTATTAGCCGGGAATTGCTTGTGGGACAGATGGATTTTTTTTTTCCCTGACTGACAGGGCTTTGARAGACATCAAAGGGTACCAGGATTTAAGCTGTGAGGGTAATGCAGTTCCTGCATCCCCCTAAGAGGATGCCCTACCGCTAGTAACCCCACTTTCCTTTACAAAACTTTATCTGGGACGGACCGGCCGTAGCGGGAATTCAGTCTCTGTGCAGGAATTGTCTGCAAACTCCAAAGCTCATCCATAGGTTTCTTCTGGATGGATGTTCTGTGTTGTTTTAGAAAGGAAGTGCTCTCACCTCCCCGCTGTTTGGGGTGTAAAGGCTGTGGGATTCGCACTGTCCGTGAATCCCTCTCGAGTGGGTGCCTGGTAACCGYGCAAGAGCGGCGATGATCCCGGAATTTCCTGACCGGCGGGATTGGCTCTCGCTTGGTTTCTAAGGATTCCCGTGAATCCGTGTGCAGCCCTCGGGGGAAGCCCCGCGCGTGTGGTTGCTCTTTCCCTCCTCTTTCCCTCCAGAGCTGCAAGAATCAGTCCTTTTGACGGCAGGATTTTCCTCCGCCGGGTGGAAGGCGCCTCGGCCGCTCGCCGGTTTCTGTAGTGCTGCCGTTTCTTCAGGAGCTATGGGTGCAAAGGAGCTTTCCATCCSGGCTCCATGAACAGAGATCAGTGATGTTTTTGGAGCATCTTCCCCAAAGCAGCGTTTTTCCTGGCGGGAAGAGGASAGTATCGTGCCCCTCCGAGCCCTCCATGTGCTGTGGCTGCTCCTTCCTTTGCTCCTTCTGCTCCGTCAGTGCTTCCTTCCTACCTGGCTCCTGAGCACGTTGCAGCTGAGCTCGACTCACGGTGACAGCCCAGCAAGGAAATAGCTGGGGCTGCCTTKCTGATTCCCATCTAAAAATACCCTGAAAGTTGGCATTTTGCAACGAGTTGGGTCTGTTGGATCAGGTGGCTCCTGCCACTGATACGCTGGAGACCTCTGRTATTTAAATATTGACTTGATTGCCTGGTATTTAAACACTGTCTTGATCACCTGTTTTGGTTGGGGGGTCCTTAGTGCTGAGGAGTAACCTGTTGCTGGCCAATTGCTCCGGACGCTGTTTGATCCTATGGGAAGAATGGCGAGTGCCTGGATGGGCAGAGAGCCCAGGCTAGGCAAGGGCGAGCGCCYGCAGTCAGGCTAGGCTTGCAGATAAGGCTGCTTTAATGCCCTGATAAAAGATTATCAGGTGCAGAGGGGCAGAAATCCTCCCTTGAGAAGCTCGGTAATGCAGGAAGGGAAGAAAGAATGGGAAGCAGGAGCCTGAAGAAGGAGGCTTTGGGACTTGCTGGAATGTTTTATAGTGTTTTAGGAAGAAAGCTGCTGGAGCMGCCCTTGCAAACCTGCCCGAGTGGAGAAGGTTGCCCAGAAGAAGGCAGGAGGTGCCTTGCAGCTCGAGAGTGCAGCCAAAATAAACTCCTCACGCGGGGTCTGGTTTTGTTGTGGGAGCGATTTGGGCCCATATCCCYATTTTAGTACTGTCTGTGTAGCGAAACTTTCTGACCTGAGCTGCTTAATCTTGTAAAACTGGATTAACTTGTGCGTGTGGGACTGTGACTCGGAGCACTGGGGCTGTTGTAATTTTAGCTGGAACTCGCACCCTCACGGGAAGACGTAAGTGAAGATCACAGTGAATTCCTACATGAGGGCCCTTGGCCCCGGCCTCGCTCACGGAGAAGCTCCAGGGGGTCCCAGCAAGGTGCTCGGGGGTGCTGGCTCCAGCCCTGGGAGCGTTTGCCCCTTTTGGGTAAGGATCCATTGGGAAAAGTGCCGTGTGTGCTTGTCCGAAATCCCCGCATCCGAAATGACCCGAGCGGAGCCACGAAGCCCAGATGAGATCTGGCTCTGCTGTTAAGTGCTCTTTCTGAGCAGAAACAGGAGCATTTTGCAATTGGTGCATTCCCTGCTGTCCCCTGGGAACGCTGCCTTCCGCCTGGATCTGCTTGGAGCGGGTGGAAGAGGGCCCCTCGCCGGGTGTATCTGAGCACAGCGCTAGCCAAGCTGCAGGAGCAGGAGGCGGGAAGCACCCTGGGCCTTGCTGTTGGGCTCCCATGTTCTGGATGTGGGCAAAACTGGGACGCGCTCGGCTTTGGGCTCCCGCTGCTCGTGAGCAGAATGACCTCGACGCATCTTCCACGGGGAATATTGCGCGTAGTGTCTGCGGAAAGGCTGACCTTTCCAAGCATGAAGGCGAGTTTCCCTGGGAGAGAGGAATGTTGGCTGCACGTCGGGCTGGCAGGGCCGCTGCCGAATTCCTCTGCGGCTCCTGGTAGCCGCAGCTGCTGCCGCAGGGCTGCGAGTGCTGCCGGCCCGGGGACCGCGGAGACGCGGGGTTAGGGCTTGGGGTAACCCCAGAGGCGTGCGGGAGAGACCCTGGCCTGCTAACACGTCCATCTGGAGGACAAGGTTATCCCGAGCGTGGAATCTTCTTGTTTTTCACTAGAATTGGAAGAGCCGCTTATTGTATTAACAAGATTTTTAATTACAAGGGCCCTGCAAACTTGCAGCAAAGCCTCCCCGTAGGGAGCTGTGCGACAGCAAATGCCTTTCGTCCTCTTTCCATCTGCCTTTGCTCAGCAATACTTTTATTTCCCCCCTTTTTTCCTCTCTGTAGCCTCACGCTTGGGAATTCCGTGGCCTGGGACGAGCGGGTGCTGCTCGGGGGTGGCTTTTGCAGCGGGTCCCTCGCGTTGGACGCGCGCTCGCCGGGGTGTCCTCCCGCTCGGCGGCTCCACGCACTGCTCTGCTTGCAGCCCGTGGAGCGAGGCGCTGTGGGCTGCAGCACGAGTGCTGCATCCCTTGCATACGCAGGTTGAAACCGCCCCAGCTGATATGGCAGGATGAAACATTCTAGCAGGGTGTTAAATATAAAGTAGTGCCTCGGATCAAACCCAC